AACGACTTAAAATGGATTTTTCGGGGTGAATAAAATGTCTCAATATGGTTTTGAACGTGAAATTTTCCGCTCTTTCCGAATCCGGGGTCAAAAATAGGTGTTCCTATTCAAAAAAACCACTTGACCTTGAAATAACCTTGAAGGTCAAGTTCAAGGTCAAATTTAATAGAACCATTGTTTGGCCCCTTTCGTCCCCTACAACTTTTGTCTGAACCATTTTTTCCTATCTCTCTTGGAATTCGAAAAATCCAGGTATAGCGATTAAAATGGGTCACCCTGTATATCCAACATAGAAGCAAGTTCGATTATACAGCATGTTATGGATCATTTGATGAATCCCTAAATCGTCTTGTCAACACTTTGCATGTTGACAAAATTAAGGGGGGAGGAAAAGCTTTATCTTTTCAAAACAGTTACACATTGAGTAACACAAAAAAAGTTATAGAAAGAGCAACTAACATGCGTATAAACGATCTATTTTATATTATGGGCGATGAACCGAACACTTATTTTTTTGATAATGGCCTGCATGAACAAATTAAATCAGTAAACTCGAAAACTGACTATATTAAAAGATGCGTGCAACTGTTAAAACTGAACCCGAACATAACAAACAAAAATCAGGCCACTAATTTCCACAAAACACTTTCACTCATTAAAGAACTACAACATGAAAGCAAAGAAATTATGTTATTAATGGTTGAAATGTTTAAATATAATAAATATTTATTAGCTATGCACATGAAATTGAAAAGACATCACTTTTAAAATCCATTGTTAAACCTAATAGTATTAATACAGCAAATATTGCTGACATAGCACAGTTACATTTTATGATGTATAAAAAAATACTAATTGTAAAAATAGTACTACCGTTCATAGATGCCGAACAGTTTGTCGTGTACAAAATGATGTCTTTTTCAGTTTTTCAACAATCTGAGACAAACGAATCAATCGCTGCATACATTCAACCGCGGAATGATTACATTGTTGTATTAGAAACTAATAATAATTCATATTTCTTTATGAGTGAAACGGCCTTTGAATTATGTAACATCGTAAAATATTATAGAACATGTGGTGTCGAATTAATAGAAAATACCAAAGCATCTTGTGAGTTCGACATGCTAATAAAGCCAAAAATCAAAACTTTATATGAATGTAATGTTAAATTGAGACAAGATGAAGATTATTTTCTAATCAAAACTGCTAGCATTTTTCTCTGGTTATTCTCAACGAGAGAATATAATTCATTAAAAATTAAATGCACTAGCAAATTCATATCTATTCCGAAGCTTTCTTCTGGCATAATTGAACTCCCCAGGTCTTGTGACATATGGGCCGACGGAAAAATATATAGAGGTACGACCGGCAATAAAGTAATAAAAAATCTAATTATTTCGCCTTTTCGACTAACCCTTTTGAATATAGACCAGTGGTTAGACAGTACAACTAAAATTGAGATAAAACAGATCAGTGCCCTAACAACAAAAGTAGAATAAAAAACAATGAACTTGTCAAATTGGAACTTTATTTGTATCAGCATTGCAATTTTATGTTTAATTATAAGCTCTCTAATTATATTAATAGTAATTCACTATGTCAACAAAAAACAAAGTAGAAGAGGCATTACAGTAAGCGAAACATATATACCAATGTCGAAGTCAGACACCGGATTTAGATACGATTTTACGGGGCCACCGTTTTACGAGGTACCCCGCATACCTCCTAAAAAGGTACATGACTATGAAAATATGTTACCAACTCTATTAGAATCAACCCAGGATGAAGAACTAAAGGAAGACTCGTCTGACCAAATAGGAATCGAAAGCTCAGAATCAATAAATATCAAAGAATAAATAAGTATACCTGTTATTGAGAGAGTCATCCGGCTAGTTGCAGTCGTTTTTAGCATTCATATGAAATATTTAACTTTGCGGGGGAACGTTATCCGTAGTATTAGGCCAGGTGTGGGTAATAAAGCTTTTCTAGTGTGACTAGAGTAGGTCATGGATTGTAAAATGGTAATCATCCTGGAACATAAAAGTAGAAAGAAAGAAGTAGGGTATTAGAAAAAATCACTATTAAAACGAATGGAGTAAGAGGAAATTAGATAGTCTATAGAAAATAGCAGAGCAAGCAATTAATATAATTCAATGAAAAATGTACGCTCAGTGTGTTTCCATCAAACTCATAAATGAAAGAGGATTTTGCCACAGTTTTCTCTTTAACGAGGAAGGTGTTGTGCAACGAGACCCTCTAGGACTTTTCGAAACAAGTGAAAACTACTGTTGGACACCCGAACCGTTCCATATTTATCGCTGAGGAGCTTGCCGCTGGTTGAACAAAACAGCAAGTGAATACGGATACGAAGTGCGGACTTTCCAGCCGACCAAAACGTATGAATTAATCGGGGAAATAATATATAATAACTCATCAGAATTTCAAGAAATATGCAAGGAAAGTGTAACAAAGATGGGATATTCACTGCTAGGTCCAGTAATACCAGAACTCACAGTGACACAATAATGAGATATTTCAATATCCTGAATATCTTACAGTACCAAAAGATAATTTATTCAGAAGCCAAAATTTGCTATTTCAAATCGTGAGTGAAAGTACTGATATCTTCATTCAGCATCTGTTTAAGATAGATTATGGTAGTTTTAATACAGATCACCGACTTACGTTTGGATATTGTGCAGTGTGTCAAGTACCATTATTAGCATTACGTAATTGTCGTTACTGCACGGCGTTACGTTTAAGCAAACAGTGTAAGGACGTGTTGATGCAAATTTTGGAGTGCCCCTTTGCAGAACATCGGAAGTCATTAGAAAATGATGACGAAAGGTGCCGGTTCCATCAAGGAGGTAGTGAATTAATTCAGGCGTGGAGTAGGCGAGTAGACCAGCTATTTTCAGAAAACAGTAACTATTGGCTAAATCTTAGTAAATAAATTTTTTTTTGGGGGCTATTTTTATATAAAAATATAAATAAATAAATAAATAAATTATTATTAGAGTGATTTTATACGGCAATTTCCTGGCAAAGCTCCTCCGAAAACAGTTGACATAGAATACACTAAATTCGACACCTGGTGTTCGAATAAATTAAGTAGTATCTAGCAGTAGGAAAGAAATAAAAATTAGAGTTTTATAGCTAGACTAGTGATTAAGCTCCCGGTTCGAAAGGTAGAATAAAATAAAGGGGACTTAGTTGCCAGTAAGACGGCATCGTGTCAACTAGTTTTGTGTCTGTGTCTCTATAAGTAATTGTATAACATGTTCGTGAGTAAGGTCTTGCAAAAGTTGGAAGAAGTTTATGGAGAAAACCACGGATTTGTGATCACAGAAGAAGAAGTGATAAGTGATCCCTTAAACTTGTTCATTAGTCCGGAACCATACGACAACGTGGTTTTACCGGAAATGTATCGACAAGGAATCATCTTGTGGTTAAACAGAGAAGCAGTGAAAATGGGGCGACCATCCAGAGTGGGTAACCCTACAAATCAGACCCAAGTCTTAGGGCAGATTTGCTATGAAAGCTGCGAAGACTACCGAAAGGCATCGGAGAATTGCGCTTGTATGATGGGATATGACCTAATCCTACCGATAGTACCTGGACCAGATATAACGAATAAGCAGCTTCGAATCATCATGAAAAGGTAGCAGTTAAGATACGAAAATGATCAGTTACAATATGTAGAGTATGTTCCTCGACCACCGGATGAATGTACGAGACAAGACATGCAAGTATGGATAGACTATCTTGTAGCATATTTTCATGGAGAAAGAATAGAACGCGGAAGAACATACGCCGAATTTATACATTTGCCTTATGGAGGTACAGGTTTTGCGGACTTATTAACCTTTGATAACTGTGTGCAGTGCCTCCGGCCTTTACCAGTGTGGCGTTTTTGTAAGCTGTGCATTTTGAAATACTTAAGCCACGGACTAAAAAATATTTTTCTCATCTGTTAGGAGTACTGGTCAATTGCCTATCAGAATGCCCTTCAATTCCTGGAGAAAAGTGCCGCATATATAAAGCTGGCACCATAAGAGAAGATTATTTAAGAAGATTAAATGTATTGTGGAGTGGTGGTTTCTTGCCTTTTGAAAATTAGAGACTTTCTGTTAAGTGCTTCGAAGTGTTTCTCTTTCAAACATATAATGTGTAAAATTACCTTGTGTTTAGTACGTAGTATTTATTGTAACTTTGTTATGTGCAAAGTATAAGTATAAGTATATTATCTTGATGTACGAAATTTCAAATAGGCAGGTGCAACTTGCGAGCCCCCTGCGTCGCTAGTCTTCAGGGGCGGGCTTGTTACATCCAGGACGAGTCAGACTATTTTATAGCGGTAAAATTTGAATTTTTTATGGAAGGGGATTTCTCGTAATTAAAGGAATAGTCATTTAATAGCTGACTTTAATCTCGGTGACGCACTTACCCCTTCTGGGATTAACTCTTTATTGATTATTTTTTATGTATTTTATGCTATAAAAGACGACGCAAAACAATTGTAACACACACTCTTTATTCTACTCTGTGACACTACGCACCTTCTGTAATTTGATCAATAAATATTATAAATCTATTTCTATAATAACTTATTTGTGAGTTATACCTAATCTACGTTACATCTCTGGTTTCTGAGGTACGAGTTTCTGGACCAGTCAAACTACAGGTAATTTATTTAATTATTACTTTTTCACTCGGTACTTTAGATACGTTGCCACCCTGCTTTCGTTTGAGTCTCGCACCCGTGGTAAAGCGCTTACGCGTTGACCGAAAAGAGACAATCGCGTTTGAGTAATTCTTGTCAATTCGCGGCTGTTACGTGAGACGTAACAATATATTCAAAAAGCCAGACTCTTTCCGCTTGTGGATGGCCGCTATCATTTAGTGAGAAAATATGTGGATCATGAGATCGCCACACATGTTAAGCTTTTAAGAGCGTGAAAATAAATTCGAAGCGCTGAATAAAATTTTATGTTTTGAGTAATATAAAACTTTATTAGTTTTTAAAACATACTTAAAATATTGTAATTATAACTAGATTGTTACAAAATTTTTTCCATTAACATCCAAAATAATACAAATATAATTGGTACAAAATAATATATGGGCACCATAGTAGAATTTGAACGATTTTTACATTGATCTGCTAATTTTACAAATTTTTCTTTTGCATAAGCATTTTCTTCCATTGTTGTGTTATACTTTTCTTTGAGTATAATTAATTGTTCATTCAATTCTTGTATATTTTGAGTCTCACTTTCAAGTTGATTATAATATATTTTTAGTTTATTTATTAGAATTTCATCTGACTCACATAAGAGCCAATTTTTCATATCGTGTAACTCTTGAATAAGTATATTGTATCTTTCATCCATATTACTTACTTCCAAAAAATTTGATGATTGGGCAACTTTTTTCAAAATTAAATACTGAAAAAATTTACTGAGAGTAAAATTATTAGTTAATGGCTTCAATGAATTCATTATATATTCAGTATTGGACTGAATTATCTTGAATGATTTATTTTGATTTAATGGATCAAAAGATTTATTCTCATACTTTTCTAACATATTATTTATTTGTTGATTAATTTTAGTAACATGTGCTGAAAGTAAATCATTTGGAAAATTTTCAGTATTAGGAAAATTTAATTGTAACTTCTGTGTATCATCGCAAATGTCACTACATCTATTATCTGAAAATTTAATGATGAGGTTTGCTGATGCATTAGTATCATTTTTGTTCCTATGATCGGAAATTTCAGAAGTTTCAGCATTTTGATTTTCATTTTTTGTTTCTGATGAAATATTTAAATATATATCAGCTAAGCTTTCAGAAAAAAAATTGTTCTGTTTAATAGATTCATTTGTGCTTGTATTATCTATAGAATTATTAAATACTAATATTGAATTACTGGATACAGGAGGTAAAATATATTTATGATTACTTTCTACAGCCGATTTGTTAGTAGCAACTCTATTTTTCAGATAGTCATTCTTTGAGTATGATAATAAATTTAACTTCATATCGTCACTCTTAAAAGTAAAATTATTTCCCAGCTGTTTTTCGTCTTGTAGTGTAGTATTTTTCATTAAATTAGTATATAAAGAAGTTGATTTATTCAATATATTATCAATAGTATTAATAGGTTTAACATGGTCTTGGAGAATGCAAATATTTTTTGATAGAAAGTTGATATCTTGCAAAGTTTGCATATAATTTTTTAATGCATGAATCTGATTGTATGTATGAATTATAACAACTGTGGCATTTTCTAAATGTTGATGCAAACTTTTTTCTATACTTCTTTTTTCTTCAAATTGTTCTGAAAACTTTTCTTTATCTTTTTCTGACTGTTGAATTACATCTTTCAACTTACTTTTAGTTTTATTCAATTTATCAGTTGTTTCATCTAATGTTTGCTGGGCTTTTATATATTTTATTGCTAATTCTTGCAATTCATTCTGATTGTTTTTTATCACATTATGTAAACTTTGTGTTTCCTCTTCAGTTTCACTTAGCAAACATCTCAAAATTTGAACTTTACCAATAAGTTCTCGTTTTTCTTGTACTTTCTTTTGTAGTAGTTCTTTGGTTGCCTTCTGGTATTGTATTTTATCTTCCAATAAGGTAGCTAATTCAATTTTTAGTTTATCTTCTCCAAAGCTTTTAGAATAAGTAGACACTTGACTTTCCAGCATTTCTAATCTTGAAAGAAGGCAATCTTCTAAAATCAAAGCTTTCCAAGATTGATTAGCAGCAAGTTTAGTATGTTCTAATAATTGTTGCATATATTCAAGCTTTGAACGTAAAGCATTTTCCCTACGACCAGCTTCTTGAATAAATTGATTTAATTTGTATAAATCTTGTAATGTTACATTCACATAAGCAACTGAATGAGAAATAGTAGCTTTAGCTTCCTTCCCATCAGGTAAGTAAAGTTTTAATGTAGCTATTATACATCCATGTGTTACTTTTTTTGTACTTTCAACTACATCAACACCGAATTGTACGATATCTCCAGAACATACTTCACAAGCTGTAGATTCTACTCCAGAAGGACTCAAACGTTTACTATTTACAAATGTACCATTACTGCTCTTGGTGTCTTTTAAGTAAAATTTACCACAATCATACCACAATAAAGCATGATTTCTAGATAAAACTTTACAATCAAATATAGCATTATCTATAGCAGCCCTAGCTCTAGCAACTGAGCGACCAACTTTTATTGGTTGTCCTAAAGGTAAAGTCCTCTCTTGGAATGGATAAGAATTATCATGACAACTTAATATTCCTATTGCAGACATATTTTTTCCTGGAATAGAATCCAAGTCATTTTGCATGAATCCTCGACTGGCTATAACCATAGCAGGTTCTGTTATATACTTGTTCAATCTAATGAATTTTTTCTGCTACTGAAATGTCATAGCTAACTCATAATTATTGAGAAACTGATTATTAAGGAATATCCTTGTTTCATCTATTGAATCTTTATGCATAGAATATTTTACAACCAATTTAGTACTGTAACATATATACATTCCATCACTTTTTGGTGTTGCAAAATTACTGGTAAATCAATAGTGCACATATCTGATATTAAATTAACATTGTATAAACTTACTTCACAGCAACAACCTCAAAAAGCCAATTGAATTATTCTTCAACAAAACATTTATATTGCATGTTCATATAGACGTGGAAATTCTTTTATAAACAAATGATGTTCACAACTATTTAAATAAATAAATTTATGAAATATCTATGAATAAACTTATGTATAAATAAATGAGGTGTATATAACCAAAAAGATTTACTTATTATTCAATGAATTTTTTATCAAGAATACTAATTATTTATTTTATATAATTTATCTCAACAATAAAATGACATTAATTACATAGATCAATTTCGATATAATTACTTTATGTAGTCCACTCCATAGGACTATTCCGTAGATACTACCAGAAATCTCTGATACTACGCACAGAGGAAAGTAAGCAACCCTATTTCAGGTCTTAAAAGTTAACACCTAGAATCACTTTTATGCAATAATTGATAAACTATTTATGCCATTATATAGTTCATCGAATAAGCAACAACTTTTCTAATTATTATTCATTAGTTTGTTCACAACTAACCTTAGAAATAATAAAATTAATTTTCAGCGTTAGGATCTAGCACTCAAGTTTAAATCAAATTAGAAAATTAGAAAAGATGGTTTTGAAAAAATTATTAAAATTATTAATAGCCCAATCGTTAGCTCATATCATAAATCGATACTATCCAGAATAAAATCATCAATAGATCTATTATTTAATGAATAAAAAATAAAAAACTATGTTGATCTATACTTTAAGGCTTACGGCCTCTAGCCAAAATAAGGTGCGCATGCGGTTAGGGTTATTGCTCTGATCAGCATTCAAAATTTTTTATTTAGAGCAAAACGTATTTGTTTTAATTATGTTTTAATGACGTTTTATCAACGTATTAAAAAATATTACCAAAATATTGTAAAAACGGTTCTGCAACATTTTCGTTGACTAAAATACATTTTTTGTAATGTTTTAGAAAGATTGCCTTGCTAAAACAAGGACATTCAACAGGATTCAATCGGAAATTCAATTCGCTTTGAGTCTATTTCTAAATACTACATTATTATATGTAAAATATATACATATAAAATTAATTTTGAGATAAAAAACCATTAGAATAAATTTATATTTATTCTACTTTGAATGGTCATTTGTAGAGTTCAAAATCCAAAAATCTGATAAAAGTTCGTTTCTCATTACCATTGTTCTTCTTATAAAAGTATGAGTTTTAGGAAAAAGTTTTATTTGAACCAGTATGTGTAGTACTTTGAACGCTTTAAGAATATTATCAACGAGTTCGATTTCTGCGTTAGTTGAAGAGTACGGCATATTTTGAATTTGAAACGGCATTTTTCATGAATTGTTTTCCTATACCTAAATCTATGAAATGCATTGGATCTAGAATAAAATCTGAAACAATATTAAAAAATTTTAAACAAGTCAATACTGAGCAATTAACAACACCGTAAACAGCTACTCCGGACTCTTGAGCTTCTCACATATGTCGTCGGGTATCCCTATCATTTCTATCGGGTATTCGAGCATTATCTATTACAATTTACTTAACACTACCACCTCTACTTACATCGTGGGATAATGCGTCATTACGCGAAAAGCCTGACATACAGGGCTCGCGCAAAATCTTCTTCCGACAAGAGGACACGGACGGAAAATCAGCTGATGCCGCTTAGCTCACACACGCGCATAGAAACAACCCCGTAAGATAGGGATAGACTGACAAATAAAGAAATTAAGTGTCAAAATCCGCAAAATAATAAAATTGCGCGGGCTAAAAAGCTACAATAGACGGCGCTGATGATCGATTTGACGACAATTTCCACCAATCAAATAAAAACCCGCGACCGTAAGGGGAGATAATCGAGGAGACGCGAAACGACGCCGCTAGCCACGGCCTATTCTCCCGGAAGCCGCAGCCGAGCCCAGATCGGACCTTCAAGTGAATGAAGTGAAGCCATATATTTCCTTTGTGTGCCACGGTGAGGAAGAGAGAAAAAAGGAACGAGAGCCTCGGCAGACCGGACGACGATACCACCTGTGAATACCGCATTAAATCTTTATCGTGATCGGGAGTGTACGAATTAGCAATAGCCTCAAGGACCCGCGACCTAAATCAATTGACCTGCAACTAACCGGTGGTGCGTCAGACGGCCGACTGACTTGATTTGTAGCTATCGCAAGTGCGGGTTGCGATCGCATCGTGGTGCACCTAATAATGGGGAATGGCTCGTGTGCTGCGCAAGGGAGAATGGCGTCGATGTGGATATTTGGACAGACCGCTAAATTGACCCACGTTATCTAAAGTAGAATAGAGTAAATTAGCATTGTGCAGACAAATAGATTAGGCATCGAGGTAATAGGAAAATTATAGTAGCTTGACCTTGGGCCGACAAATAATAGATAAGCGTGGCGATAGTTAAATGAGAATAATAACTTGACCTTGGGCCGACAAATAATAGAAAAGCGTGGCAATAGTTATATGAAAACGCTAGCTTGATCTTGGGCTGATTTGGGAAACCGACCATAACTTGCCCAATAAATAGTAATTTTCGTGAACTATGTGTTGTCATTGATTTAACCTTGTGCCTTGAGATTCTGCATTCCCCCGTAGCTAACACCATCGGATTACGCGGAGCCGGCTAGCTAGTCGATACTTTGACTCAATTTTGCGTGCACGTGAGATCGAGCCCCTCACTTCTCTTCACCCTCCCCTGGATTGCTGACATGGCGCCCTGAGACGCTGCTCTGAGGACCTGCTTCTGAGAAGAGCGCCTGCCCCGACATTTTGACTAGCCACCGCCCGCATTTTCCTCTGCACGCTTGATAGGCTTTAGCGCTCCCTCTTACATTTGTAAGTGGTCAGCGAGGCCAGTGCGAGGAGAAACGATATTTTCATAAAAATTCTAAATGGCAGGTCCAATAATATTCAAAATGTTATTAACACGGTGTGAAATTTAAATTTATATCTTCATAATCCTGGTTAGTTGTGAATATATTGAATGAGCAGCCACGGACAATGGAATCCCATCTCCTGAGCCTCAATTTTTACAGTAGAAATTCAAAATTTCAGCCTAACTAAATTCTAGGAAAATATTTGAAAGACAAACTTAGTGATTTCCGTTGCTACTAGCGTCAGTCAAGTGAAACGGAAGAAAGACATGCCAGTTTTAAGATCCTGCCCTCTCAGCTACGTGGTCGTCCCCTTAGTCCACCTAGCCCGGGTGGTAGCACTCCCTTCGGAGTCCTCCATCTAGGGTAATAGTCAGAGATTGGTCCCCAGCAACAACACGAATGGTAGGAGAAAGTCATACGAATAAAATTACACCAAGTGGATACAGGAAACAAATATCTCGCCGTTCAGAAAACTCTATAGGCTGTAGTCTTTCTGCGAAAAAGAAAAGTTAAAGCAAAAGCCACCTGGCCAAAGTACAAGAAGAAAAAGAGGTCCCGCAAAAGTCTAAAGGCCTCAGCTAAAGCAATGCTTACGTGGATTCGGATATTGGGGTCTTCTATCAAGACCAGTAAGTTTCAAACGAAAGGTTAGTGTTCCACCAGGGTATGGCCAGTTAGTTGGTAGGCATGTGGAATGAATCGAGATCACGAGGTGCGGTTGGGAGAAACCTCCCACCATGGAATGCTTTTGACATAAATCATTCTCTTTCGGAGATTTCCGTTATTTGAGATTATTATAAGGTGTATAAATATCAAAATCTAAAGTAACAGTCTTGATTTACATCACTCTCAAAGATTTTTATGTTCCAGGCGCCACCTTAGATCCATCATGATGATTTTATAAAATCAAAATCAGGGTGTAGAAAAAAAAAACATTTATTGACGAGTTAATCATTAACATATTTATTCGTGACTATTTCTCCCTAAATTTTACTATTTTCCTCTGTTATAATAAAATTTTTAGGTCAATTCAAGACGCCATTTTAGATTTTCCATTTCTGAAAACCTGAATATAAAATTTGTAACCAATTTGTAGCAATGGAGATCAATCCGGAAGCCATATTGAGTCGCCATTTTGAATTTTTTAAAAAGGCTACATTTGCCCATGAAAAGGGTTTATTAACCAACATTTTAAGCTGAAGATCATTAAAATCCATTAGCATTAATTTTGGGCAGAGTCTTGTTCCGTTTGACATAGAACGTCCGAAATATATATAATTTTAAAATATCTATATTATATTTATGTATTAATATGTATCCGTTTTTTTAGATTATTATGTTTCATTTACACTACGGCATTTCAGTGCCATAAAATTATCAGTGTCGAGCTATGAAGTCAGACAGTTTCACAGCATTTCTAAGGTCCTTCACTATTTATATGGAAACAGGAAGTTATTTTAACTCTGGCGATCCAAATTGAGAGAACCAAATTTTCTTCTAATAGACTACCCATATCTGCTACACTAAGAGAGTATGAAGCATTTGTGACAGGGCTCATAGCGATATTCGCTGACCCTGTGTGCTGTATTCTCCTCGCACGGATGCCATGGCCAAGCATGGCAATGGAAACATAGTATTTATGCGCTCGTGTCGTTGCAGGGCCTAGAGAGGGGAGGCTGCGGCCGGCGGAGAGGACGGGGCAAAGAAAAGCGAGAGCGAAAAGAGCGGGGGAGAGAGTAAGAGAGCGATAAGATCGAGAGAGCATGGAGAGCGTGGCTCACGCCACGACAGGAGGGGCGAGAGAGAGAGAGAGAGAGAGAGAGAGAGAGAGAGAGAGAGAGAAAGAGGAGCGAGCAGGAACTGATGGGCAGAAGAATTTCGGCAACGAGCTAGAGAGGCCAAGATGACCACGGCGCGCGCCAACTACGAAAGCAAGTTTGCTGGGAAGAACCTGAGGCGTTAATTAGCAACGAGTGTCCGGTCACCTCCTGCAGTCAACCAACAGCCTGACAATTCGCCCATTGGCAAAGCGGGGAAGTGGGCCAGCGATCATTAGGCCTCCCCCGATCATCCCGAGGGCCCCATTACCAGCGGGACTGCGGTTGCGGCGACGGCGGCTCTCCACCAGCGAGCAGCGGACCGAGGCATCCGGTGGATAGCTTAATTATTCATAAGTACTCTTTCTCTCCCGCACCAGTTCTTGCCCGGTGCAACACTGTCGAATTAGACCACCCACGCCAGTAAGTGAACGAGGTCGCTCCTTCGTTAAATCGCGCTATTCTGTCACCTATTTGGGTTGAGCGAATTCGCTCATCCTGTTTGTTCGCAGAGTTAAGATTTTATTCTGTATTTGCGTTGGCGTAGTTCAATGAGATCGTCATTTATAATTATATTGTTTTGATACTAACTGTGGTTGCTCATTTCCTTCGCATTTCCCCGTCATCACGTCGGATTCACGCTCGTAGGAGTTCGCGTCGACTCCCTTTACCGGAAAAGGACCCACTAAAAATCGCGGGGCACAACATTGGCGCAATACGTTGCGAAATCGTATCCCCTTGCATATTAAGCAACGAATCTATTGCGATATAAAAAATCAAAATTGAAATTAACACTCATGAATAATATCCAGAGCGTAAACGAAGAAATAATACGGACGGGAACATGGTATTATCATCATTCAAGAACAAAAAAAATATTATGTAGCGAAGAATCTCGGCATATTAGACGATATGGATTCTCATTCAACGGATGCCAATGATTTCAAAAACGAGATGGAATAGTTTATAATTTATAATAATTTTTTTAACGTGTTATGAAATGTTCTTTATCAATAGTGTTTGATCTTCAAGTTCATTCATGATATTAGCCGTTAGATAACTTTAAAGTATTTTCGTTTGCTCTTCATGATTGGTTAATTTCCATATTAATCACTTTTAAGACAAGTGTATAGAATTTATTATTTATTATTTAAAATACTAGTGTTATTCAGCGTGTTTCGCGCGCTTTTTTTTTCAATATTTTACTATTATTTATTACATTATTTGAACCTTTTACATGTCAACTTCAAGATTTCAATGGACACGAATAAGTCATGCTGTTTAAAATAGACTACATACGTCAATATTTATTGATGAATAAAAATAGAACATGCACCCATTTTTTCTCAAAAATCGATGAACTTTTACTCATTTCAAGATATATCGGAAAAATTAATCAAAAGATTAATTCGACCTAAGATCAATAATGTTATTATACTATTATACTATTATACTTACATATTTAATAGTAGTAATTATAGCTCCAATCTTATATTAGTATGAGTAATACATTTAACATCGTGTACTTTTTGCTGCCACTATGAAAACACCCGTGAATATTCTTTTAATTTAACGGGTTTAATATTTTGATAATTAATTTCCTTTGTTCACATACATTTTAATTTAAAATATACAAAAGATAAATATGTAGTATCAATTTTATTTTTTTCATTCTCTTTTTCTTTCTACCAAATTTTAATACAATAATATTGATTGTATAGTATCGGAGATGGTTATAAAATTAACAATTCGTACAAATAATTTCAAAACATAACGTATTATGTTCTTAAACCAATTTACTAACATATTTCCATTCTTGCAGTTTATTATCCATGTTAATTATTCATAAATTGAATTTATCGCTAAAATAGAAATCTTACACTCTTTGATATATAATAATAATAATATTTCAAAGTATAGGAAAATTCAAAATTTCGCGTTCTATTTTTGCATCAACAAATCACAACGCTGGATGTCAGCGACTCATCTTTTTTTAAAGATAAGATAGGAATAAAATATGTAAAAAGTATAAAAATAAAAAATAAAAATAAATATAAGGCAAGGGTAAGGATAGGATAGAACCATCAGCTGCGCCTAACAATTTAATTTTGTTTCTTTTTTAACGTATTGGTTCATGGCATCAAGCTTTCCATAGGATTTCTCCATATCAACAGATATATTATTTTAATTTAACTGTTTTTTTCATTGTTCATCTGAAACCATTTGGAGAGTTTGTTTACATTTATAAATTAAATTTCAAAATTTATTTAAAATAAATTAACGGTGCCGACTGCACCGAAATCAATTGGCAGAATTTCATATAAAATATCAATTTACCATTTTTCTCAATATTGATAATATTTATCCGAAGCTTATAACGAGTTGAATCTCGTTATGTCTCTCTCTTCCCTTAAGTCAGTTATAATTTATCAATAACTCTCATATATTTTTCCTATCTACCCGCAGCTGCTGACGCTGCACGAGGTAAGTAAGAGCACGCCGAGCAGAGAGAGAGAACCGCGTGTATGCGTGAGTGCGTGGACGCATGAGTATCGCGCGCGTTTGCCTAATTGGCTGAGACGCGCCGCTGCCGAATAGCCAAGGAGAGAGAGGGGGACCTCTTCCGCGCGCGAAGAACAATTAGCTGCCCGCCTTCGCGAGGAACGGAGGCCTAGCCGTCAACGCGCGATCGGTAGATGCCTTTGTGCTACGTAGCTTGCGTTTTTGTCGTTAGGAACCGAGAGTGCAGAGTGTACGTGATCGCGTGGAAAACCGTGGCACCGAAGTGCATCCTGCGGACTGCGTGCTGTGTGCATGCGTGCTGACGAACAGTTGATCGGGTCGAGAAAGCTGCCCTGAAGCTGAATACTTGTGTGTTTCGGAAGCGAGCTCGAGGCTACTGCGAAGCCGGCGTGTAAGGACTTGCTCGATTATCTATCTCTCTCTCGCTCGCTTCATGCTTGTCTCTCTCACGGCGCATATCATTTGTACGCTTCCTTTATTTCCTTCATTTTAGTAAATGATATTTCTTTTAACCACCGTGTCTTTCCTTTCGGCAACTTCCCCTCCCGCGCTATACACGTGCTGACTCGCACCGCCAGCAACTACCTGACCTGCGACACTCTTCAAGTGGCATAGCTGAGCCACTGGGCTGGGTTCCGCGTAACCCCGTACCGAGCCTGCAACGAGCCGAGTAGCTATTTAGCATCACTCACCACGGGGAAGTCTGAATCCCCGTTACATTTTGGCGCCCAACCGGTATTGGGTCTGTAGTTAGCTATGTGAAATTCGCGAGTCAAAAAGATTCAAGCGTTACGCGCGTGTTAGAGAGCGAAAGTAAGTAAGAACAGGCACACGAGCCGCCGTGTTTACATTCCGAGTGCGAGCGCGCGATGTAAACAAACCGGTGGCTACAGAGCAAGCGTACACACAAAGAAGCGATATAAGCAGCATCGCAACTTACGAAAAAGGCCGTATTGCGAGTAAAGGCAACAGCGAGAGCTAATTCAAGCGTTCGTATACAAATATTACGCGCAACATTAAAGATTGTATATTCGCCACGCAAAACTTGTAAGCGTTGACGAAACGTGCGTTACGCGGCTCACTAAATAGAGTATTTATGATTCGTGTTTGTAGTTAGACGGCATAATTGCCCAGCGTCGGTTGAGAATTTTCGACGATTTACGGAGCTCTATTAATCGCTAAATTCACTTATTTATTTATTTTTCTTTCTCTTCTCTCTTGCTCGTGGTCCGTACAAAATTTTTCTTTCTGTTATTTTGCTGTTTTTTTTTACAAACTCCACGAGCAGACGAAATGGCAACCGGCAGCTGGACAATTGAAAATTTGACAATTTTTAAGAGCAACATTAATATTCGTTTGAAGTCACGGGTTCAAGGGCTGCCAAGCGATGTAATGGCAGACGCGTTAAACCGTTTAGAGCTGCGAAACGATGGTTCGATATACGAAAGAGGAAACAGATTGTACCGACGATTGAACGGCGACTACACCGAGAGCGACTTTATACAAACGCGTTTCGATAATCCTACGTTAGCGTAAGAAAGGCGAAACGATTTAGCGCGCACCTTCTTTCGGTCGGAACTCGTGCCGGACGATATACCTAACGATATTTGTACGGTGTTAGACGCGAAAGCGACGTTAGGTGACAACGGCGAAAATGAAGACGACGAAGAGCAATTAGGCTTCGCGGCAACCTCGCCGCAAGGAGCCGCAGGGCCGATCGACATGTCGCTCACGTTAGAAGCGAACGTGTAAGTAGCACCGATTATCGAGGGGAGAGCTCGCGTGCTGACGCCGATCAACGAAAGCTGGAACTCTAATCCCTTTATAGACACGCCGAATGTTGCGCAGATCGAGCCGGTCGTGACCTCCAGCATGCAGTCGGTGCCCCAAGTTACGTCGAGCGCAACGAGCTTAACGAATAGCAGCGAGAAGTATACTGCACAGCATTACGTCGCGCCGGCAATCGAACCGGTCACCTTTCTAGCTACAGAGCGAATAATGCGCGTAATGTTCCCCGATCAAAGCGAACACTGGCTGAGTGCGGCGGCGGCTGCAGAGCTGAAACGGGCGTGGCAAGCAGAGTTCCAGGCGCGCGTTTTAAAAGAAAACTTGAACGACTTTTGGGCTACGCAGCAAGCAGAAATGCAAGAGTTAGTATTGCGTAGCAGAAAACAGGAAAAACGAATAGAGGAACTGCTGCAAGCCATCGCCACATTGCGGTCGGAAAAAAGTAATGTAGAGTGAATAAACAGCGATCTACAGGCGCAAATGAAAAGCGTAATCGCTAATGCTCAGTAGCAGACGGCCGAAAATCAAGCGCGCTTGAACGTGACGCGGACAGGCAAAGGGGTTCATTTCCAAGACACGTTCGATTTAAATTACTACGAGCTGTCAAGCCAGTTCGATGGCTCAATACGACCGTCGCCCTCAACACTAAACCCGCAAGCGCCGATGTTTCACTCGACCACGAAACCGTCAGTGCAAAATCAGCACGAAGCGCCGCGAATGGCGACTACAGCGGCAGGTACACACTCGACGATCCCAGCAGCAAACTACGCTTCACAGCTTCCTTCCGCAGGTACAACCGGGGGAAGGGGGGTCACTCCGAAGCCACAGTTAGTGTTTGTGTGTTGTCATACTTTTCCGATTTGAGGGAGGCACAGCGTAATCAAACATTACCACCCTTCTCACTGGGCACCAACAGGTTGGCATAGCCCACTGTCTTTCACTCCTTCGCTTTCAAACATTTTTGGAGATCCGGAAGTCAAGTTTGCTGCGACATCCCTGACGCACACAGCGAGTCGGAACCTTTTTAATCTAAGGCGGTGACCTCCTCGAAAGGAGTACCGATCTTTTCAAGGTTCAACGCTCAAGGAGAGCGGAACTAAAGGCTTGACCCTCGGTTTGGGCGCGATAGGACTCTAGTTGCCCCGACGTCTGCCGCGTCGGAAGCACGCAGCATACAAATCTTACGAGATTTGCTTGACCTGGTACCACTACCCCGCAGAGGCCAACCCAAATTGGGATGTCAGAAGAGAGACTCAGCTAGGACAGCCAGAGGAGATTCCTAAGACGATCAACTAGCTAAGCCTCCCCTCTTGGGCTCGCGTTCGAAAACATCCCACCCTGCGTACCTGTATTAAGGGATTTCTCCCACGACTCACAGGTCCATCGTTTCGACGTACCTAGGCACGTCTTCCCATTGCATTTCGGTCATCCCCGCTCACGCTGGTGGGTATCCGTCATTCGAAAAGTTTGTTTCCCGATTTCATCCCAACGTCGGATTTCTCTTTCAAAAGAGCGGCTCTTATGACTAGCTGATACTGGTGTTTGCTCTTTCGATTTGGTGTTTTGACTTTTAGGTCATGGCGGGGTCTCGTCTAGCCGACAAGGCGAATCCCCAGGCAGTTTTCACTATTCTTGCCGGTCATGTCACATATTCAATTCAAAACCCCGATATCAGGTTAAGTAGGGGAATTCGCGTTCAAATTGTCGAACTTCAGAGTTTATTTCTGAAGTTCAGTGTTCGAATTATCGTTCAAAAATATTTAAGCTTATACGCTTCTGTAGGTTTAAAAATTAGGTTAGGGACCTTGTAAGATGCGGCATCTTTCTACCATAGATTGTAACTATTTTCCTACGCTTTTTCTTTGTTATTGGTGCTCTTTCCCTGGGCTCTATGACTTTTCTAGCAAAGTCTTCAAAGGCATTGTAGATTTTCCTGCTAGATACTAGGGTCGTTTCCGGGCATGGCCATGTATGGCCCTCCTCTTCAACGGCCTCTATTAATGGCATTCTTAGTTCCCTTATATCTTCGCAGTTAAAGAGAATATGACTTTCGCTTTCTATTTCTCCACAACTACACAGTTAGTCTTCGCATAATCCTCTCTTGTGGAGGTATGACTTAAAAGCACCATGTCCAGTTATGAACTGGACTGTGTAGTGATTGGGATTTAGCCACCTCTTCTTTAATCTGTCCTTGATTACTAGGAAGTAGCAGTACGTTCTCCTGCCATTTGTGGCTGACTGCCATCACTCCTGCCATACCCTTTCGATTTCATCGTTGATGAGTTGTATGGTTTTCGAGATTTTTAGTCTGCCCGATCGAAGTTCCTCCGATTTCATTCGGATGCCGCGCATCTTAATCGATTTCCCTTTCCTGACGCAGTACTTTGCAACTCTCGCGTCAAGCTCTAGAGCTATTGGTCAGGAGGCTGCAAGCACGTGTGCCGCTTCATGAGAGATCGATTTGTAGGCTTTGAGTGTTGTGCAAAGAACTGATCGCTGCAATCTTTCTAAAGTATATTGTTGTTTGATGTTAGCTCTTTGCCACCAGCCCGCAGCGGCATATGTAATTTTCGATAATAGGAAGCCATTCTATTTCTTTTTTATAGAATTGAATTTTAGGCCCCAGTTCGCTTTTGCTATTTTACTTAGCTTGAAATAGGCGTTATTATAGTCTTGAACCACGTTTCGAATATGTTCTTCCAATCGGAAGCCCTTCGAGATCGTGATTCCTAGGTACTTGACTGTTTTGTGCGTTCTAATGTTGTCTTTCCCAATTTTGACTGTAGGGTTCCTATTCTCGCTTAGCTGGCCTTTAAGCCATATTAGTGCTGACTTTTCCACTGCCAACTTCATTTTGTCGGACTTGCACCAGTTCGTCATTATATTAATGATTTCTTGGGCTTGTCTTTCAAGATCAATGCGTGTCTTCGCCTTAATGATAAGAAGCACATCGTCTGCGTAGGCTAGTACTTCGTATCCTGCGTCCCTGATTGCCCGGAGTGGTTTTTCAAAGATGACGTTCCAGCCTACCGGTCCAAATACTGAACCCTATGGGCACCCCTTCGTCACTGTTTTCAGTGTTTCTTCGAAGTGAGCATATATGCCCACCTCTCGATCACTGAAGTAGCTCCGGAGGAGCTTATAGATGTTCTTCGGGCAATTTCTTTCTTTCAATTGGGCAAGCAGGCTTGGCCACCATAAGGCATCGAATGCTCCTGAGACGTCTAGTGGAATAGCGGCTACGTACTTGGTCGACTTATTAGATTCTGCCTCTTCTACTATTTCATGTAGTCTTCTAATGGCGTCCTCAGTGGATCTATTGGTCTTAAAGCCAAATTGATCCTCCGAAGACCAGTCCGAGCTGTTCAGAATGTTGGATATTCTTTGAATCACAAGCCTCTCGAGTGTCTTCCCCGCTATGGGGAGTAGACATACGGGTCTATATGATTTAATCTCGTTCTCGGGTTTTTCAACCCCTTTGAGTAACGTGATTAGCATTCAACTTTTCCATCTTCTGGGGAACACTCCGCATTTTAAGCAGCCGTTGAAAAGTCGTGTCAGTTCCTGGTGTAATGGTTTTGCGTTAACAAGCATCTCTGACTCTATTTTATCTTTGCCTGGTGATTTCCCTGCCTTGTTCGCTTTAAGGGCCATTTCGACTTCCCTTGTTAGAAAAGGCATTGCGTCGCCGGTTGCTGGAACCTCCCGCATATATCTGCTAATTTCTGCATGTGCGTCGTTTTCGCAGCTTGGGTCGTCATCAGGCATTAATCCTTCTAGTAGAGCCATGCTTGTTTCTTTCCAGTCTTTTGTAACTGAACCATTACGGTTAACCGTGCACATCGCTTTTGAGATTCTGAGTTTATTGGATGCTTGTTTGTATGGATACGCCCAAGCATTCTTTTCGCTTTCAATAGTACAGAAGTCTCGCCAGCTATTGCTTTTGGCTTTTTTAATAGCCGTTGCATATTCGGAATTCATTTGACTTAATTTTTCAAGTGATCTCTGGAGGGTTTTCCTTTGTTTTATATTCGGTCCTTCTTTGCTTTTCAGAGCAGCGATTATTTGTTGTCTTTGTATCGCTCGCTTCTTACTTCACAAATCAGGATTCCACCAGGGTTGAGAGCGCGTTCTTCTCATTTTTAATGGGATAGAGTCCTTTGCTGCCCTTATCAGAACCTCTTCAAATTTTGAAACATATGTTTCAATGTCTTTAGGGGTTTCTAAGAAGAGTTTAGATAGGTTCTCTTTCTCGAATTTACAAAGTCTCCCGAATTTCTCCCAATCAGCTTTCCTCATATTAAACCTTGGTTTTAATGTTTCTTCGGTTCGTATGAATCTGGCTGGCTGTGAGGCAAAATCCAGTTCGATCACTATGGGCCTGTGGTCACTGGTGGTCCATTCTTTCACCGCCCAGCTAGCCAAGAGGTTTGACAGATTTGATGTATGCAAAGTTACATCGACGTCCGTCTCACCCCCTGTACTACGGCACGTTGGAAGTTGGTCCCTCCTGTTGGCCACAATTAGCCTGTATTGGTCTATGAATTCTTCAATGACTGTTCCATTCATGTCCTGTGTATTAGACCAGATCTTTGACTTGGCATTTGCGTCCATTCCAACTAAGACTCTTTTGCCTTTCAATTGCTTGAGAGTCTCAGCTAGTTTGCCAAGATAGGTCTTCCTGCTGTGGCTGAACTGGCAGTAGATGCTTATGAAATAAATTTCACCAAAGGCTCCGACTACTTGTGCACAAACACAGTGGAAGTCACACAGATTAGAAATTTTGGTAGTAGTGACTTTGTGCGGATTGTAAAGTATCGCAGCTTGAATCTTTTCGCCTTTTTTGGCTTCATGAATAGCTGCGATGCTGCCCATACCTGAAATCTCGTTATTCCAGTGATATGGTTCTTGCACCAGTGCCACCTGTATGTCAAGATTTCTATCTGTCATGATTTCTCCCAGCTCATCGTTGGCTACTTGCCTTTTGTTGAGGTTCAATTGTATGATCCTCAGTTTTGGGCCTAGTTCAGGGTTTTGTTGTGCGTTCAAGTTGAACCTCTTGACTGGTGGGCAATCGTCTTTGCTTTCGTCAAGATTGTTTGGTTGCGAAGGAAACTGAGTTGACGCCGGAGTATTAGAGCAGTGCTCTGGTTTCTCGACGGTCGCCTCCTGCTTACGTTTCCTCGCCTTATTATACCTAGAATGGTTGACCATATCGCTTTCAAGGTACAACGCAATGTCTAGTTATATATTTCCTCCTTTGGGATCGCTGCCGGCGATTCTGGAGGGTGGCTTTCGATTTTAGTTCTGGCGTTAACGTGCGCGTTCAATTAAGCAAGTGGCGTTCGAGTGCGAGTAGTGAGTACTTGTGTGTTGACTTGAGCTTCGTTAGTTACCTTTGCGGGCTTCTCCATGGTTTCCCATGGCTCTTTTATTTACAATTGATTAAGCTAGTTATTTTTCTAGCTTTTTAATCTGTTATTAGATTATTTATTTTCATTTTATTTTATTTCTTTTGATTTGATTTAATGATTTTAAATCTCTAAGTTTATATCTATAATTTTTAATTCTTTCTTATTTTTAGTTTTATTTGATCTTTAATTGGTAACTTTCTTAATACTATTTACTATACTACTGCTTATGTTACTGCTTAAATTATTGTTAACTGCTTAAGAACTAATTTGATTATAATATAACTTAAAGCTATTTACGAGTTTACCAGCGTGTTTATCTTTCACGCTGGGTTTGATATTAATCAAACCTCGTTTTGGTCAAGTCAGGGTTAGGTGTTTGACGAATTGCAACCAAAGTAGCATTTGAGCGAGCATGTCGGGTTTCCGCCTTTTCTATCATCTTAGCCTGTGTTCACCATTAGTAGCACTGGATCTGATGGATGTTTAGTGCTTGGTTTTCGCTTTCAAAGGGAGCTGACAGCCACTAATTTCGCTTTCAAATGTAAAATTGTTTTAGCTATTAGGGCTTAATCAATTCCTTAGCAGGAAGGATGCTGCCCTTCTGTGGAAATATTTTTCCTAAGGGTTTCGGCATCCGTAGTGCGTTCTAGTCATCGAGAGTTACTCGGCCCAATGGACTGTTCTCTCGTACAAAGGTGTCGGACCTTACTCCAGGAGCTCGAGGGAAAGAACTTTGGGTGGCTGTTATGACCACGGCCGCGACTCTTTACCCACAGTAGTGGCACCTACCGATTGCCAGTCGATAGGAAGTAATTTCTTATCTACCCGAATTAAATTCTGATTGCCGGGACCATTGGTCCTCTGCAACTAGCTCCCGGAGCGGTCTCCCGTCCTCTAAGAGGGCGCGCGGTACCACAATCCTAAAAGATTTCCCCTCAAGTGACTCCCGGATTTTGGCTTTTCTGGGCTCGAGTTGAGCTCTTGGGGTGTGATAGACTCCGCGTTGAATGTTTGGGCGTTTACAGGCCGCACCTCACCACGTGTTGTCATGGTCCGTGTTGTTCCTTTTGTTTGACCAGTTGGTCTATTGCCCTGGGGGCAAGCGTTGTGTGTTTTGCCTACTGTTTCTTTACAGAGACAGCGTTTTCAGCCCCACCGCGTGAAGGTACACAAATCCGCACTTGTGATTGCAAGTCTTCGTTCAAATACACATTGCATTCACTTCGGATCGACTAGCATTAGTTGCTTATCTAGGGCAATCGGTGACGCATTTTGTACTTCAGCATTTGTATATGCCCGTACACAAAAGAGAGAAGTTTACGACGTCCTCTCCCAAAACAACGAATTGTTTGTTTGAGGCGTCTCCGTTCTCTGTTGAGGAAGACAACTACTGTCCGCCGCTTTGACATAAGATTTTTGCACAAGGTGACTTGGCCAGCCTCGTGGCTGGCCGTATGGTGCACTATATGCATCATCCATGTTTGTGCTAAGCGGATTATAATCGAGCTTCCTGAGAGCGTCGTGATCGCAACCGCCACTCCGAAGCCACAGTATGCTGCTGGCTTGGGTGCTCAGCTGTTCAGCCCTTTTGTTCCCGCAAGCTCGAGCTGGGGGAGGGGGTTTGTGCCGAAGACGGTGGACGATTCACTCGCGCTGCCGGTGACGAGGCAGGCAGCAAGCCACAGCACAGGGGGGCCCTCACCTCACACACTCAACATGATGGAAATGTCGCGTTTTCCGAGCAAGCACCTCGGAAAGACGGTCTGAGAGTGGAAAATTAAATTCTCGGGCGAAAAAGGAGTCAGTATTGAGGAGTTCTTGGAGCAAGTAGAGGAGAATCGCCGGCTAGACCGAGTTGCGGAGGATGAACTGCTAGACTCGATGACGCCGCTGTTCCAGAAGCCTCGCTGTTCTGGTTTCGAGCTATAAGGCCCGCATGGAAAACGTACCAAGATTTCAAGGACACGGCACTCAAGACGCATAGCAAGACAAAGAGGAATAGGAGGAGCCTGATCGTGGAAGCTCAACTGCGCACTCAGGGGGAAGACGAGCCTGTGAGAGACTATGTCGTCTCTCTCCTCACCATTCTCGGCCGGTTCCAGGAGCCTTGGGAGGCGTAGGGCCAAGTGAACCTAGTCATAGATAATATACTTCCACGACTGCAGCGACGACTAAAGCGGTGCAAGGATAACTTGATCAACTTCCAAGAGCTGCTGGAAAGAGCTCAAGAAGCAGAGGACGATGAGGTAGGCCAATGGAGGCCTCCTCCTCCAGCAGAACAAAGTATGCTGCCGGAAGCGGCTTACAAGCCCAAGTCGAGGGCAGCCAAGATAAAGCCAGCCGGCATCGCCTCAGTCAGCGATCAAGCTGCGGAGCCGAACTGGGAAAAATGCCTCAGGGAGTTTTTGGAGCAAAAACTCAAATCGGCTAACGGAGCGAAGGCCCAGACGTCGTCGGCGCGAAGTCAAAGCGCTGTGGTAAAGCCTGAACAGGGTACTCAGGTGGCGGCAAAGGCCAACGCCGGCGCGACACCCCGCGGCTCACCAGGCGGTGGCCGAGGCGAGAAAGGTGGAGGCAGAAATGGCCGTTCCGGAGGTAATCAGGCTCAGATCATCACTCCAAAGTCCGACAAGAACAAGGACAAAGAAATTGGTCCAAGTGGCGACAAAGTACCCTGCTGGAATTGCTGTTGGCCCGGTCATTCCAGGTTCACCTGCCCGGAGTGCTCCGCTAAACTAGCAGAGCCAAAAAACGAGACGGGAAGTGCGTAGAAAAGGTCCCTACCGCTCCTCAGGAAAACCGAACCTTCGCTACCGACAGCGTTACAGGAGTAGCGCAGACGCTTCGCAACACGGCGGGTGACTCTATGCTAGCCCCGAGTAATCCGACCGATGCGCAGTCGTCATACGATGGAGGTACTGTAGCCAACGCTGCTGTAGAGAAGTCGCCCCGGTGATGGCTGACGGTAGACGTCGGCGGCTATTCGTTTCGAGGGTTGTACGATACCGGAGCTTCCCGCAATGTCCTTGGTCCAAACGCGTTACAAATCGCCTTGGCGCTTAATCGCCGGGTGCACCCGTACGTAAGCCCGAGGGCAAAAGCAGTCGATGGACACTACGTGCCAGTAATGGGCAACGTAAAGCTACCCTTCACTTTAGGGGGGTAACGCATTGGCTCGATGTTTTGATTCTGTCGGAAATCGACACAGAGTGCACTTTAGGTGCCGACTTCACCCGCGCTTTCTCAGCGATACTCGACCCAGAGATGAACACGCTGAAGGTTAAGGGCTGTGACGAGTAAATCCCGGCCGCACTTTCGTCAATGCTGGCTGAGGAGCTTATGTCACTAGCCTCGCTCGGTATAGAGGAAATTTCCGAAAGTCAGCGCAGAGAAGTCAACGAGCTAAAGCACAGTTTGCTGCCTGATCCCTCTTGTGAACAGCTAGGCTGTACGGGCTGGATCGAGCATGACATCGACTTGAAATGCGCACGTCCTATCAAGCAACGATATTATCCCGTATCAAAGAAAATTGAGGACGAGATGCACGAGCAGGTGCTGCGCATGGGAATCATCCGGAAGTCGAAAAGTGAGTGGTCGAGCCCCGTCGTTATGACCCCGAAGAAAGACGGCACTTATCGTTTCTGTATAGGTTACAGGAAGGTGAACGCGCAGACGAGAGTGACCGCGTATCCGTTGCCTTATATGGACGTGATACTGCGAAAGATTCAACATGCCAAGTTCATAAGCGCGTTAGATTGCTCCGGAGCTTTTTGGCAGATTCCTCTTACAGTGAGGTCTATACTAATCACTGCATTCACCGTGCCAGGACTCGGTCTGTTTGAGTTCGTTAGAATGCCTTATGGCCTAGCGGGGAGCCCCGCAACATTCCAGATGTTAGCTGACAAAATTATAACACCTGAAATGGAGCCCTACGCTTTTGCGTATTTAGACGACCTCCTTATCGCAACGGGAAACTTCTCGAAGCACATTAAGTGGTTGACGTGCATCGTGAAGCGGCTAAACGAGGTGGGTCTAACGATAAACCGGAAAAAGTCAAAGATTTGCATGACCGAAGTGTGATACCTCGGCTTGTTGGTGAATCGCGATGGTTGCCGGCGCGATCCAGAGCGAGTTCGCTCGATCCTCGAGTACCCCGCGCCGAGAAACCTGAAGCAGCTGAGACGTTTCCTAGGAATAGCTTCTTGGTACAGGAAGTTCCTCGAGGGCTACGCTTCCCTGTGCGAGCCGCTCACTGCACTCACTCGCAAAGATTGCAAGTATGTGTGGACAGAAAAACAGGAAACAGCTTTTGACCAAGTGAAAGCTTTCTTGGTCTCCGCACCAGTGCTCTCAAGGCCCGACTTCGCCGCTCCATTCATCGTTGAATGCGATGCTAGGGATATGGGACTGGGCAGTGTTCTTTTACAGCACGTCGAAGGAGTAGACCGCGTACTCTGTTTTGCGAGTTGGGTTTTAACTGCTCCAGAGCGACGGCTGTCAGTGACAGAGAGGGAGTGCCTCGCTGTAATTTGGTCGATCGAGAAGTTCCGACCTTACATCGAGGGCTATCATTTCACAGTGGTGACAGACCACCACAGCCTGGTTTGGCTGCGAAACTTGCAAAGCCTCAACGGGAAGTTAGGCCACTGATCCTTGCGTCTGCAAGCCTACGATTTCGATATCGTGCATCGGAGTGGCAAAGATAACGTAGTGCCGGATGCGCTTTCTCGTATGTACGAGACGGACGAAGACGAAGTCGCTTCCACAGCTTCTCTCAGCATCGGTAAAGACACGAAAGACCCTTGGTACCGGAATCAAGTTAAGAAGGTCTTAGCTGATCCAAGGGCCCATCCGTATTTGAAGGTCGTCGAGGGACGGCTGTACGTGTGTCGCCCCGACCCGGTCATTAACGACACGATGGGATGAGACGATGATGCTTGGAAGCTGGTAGTACCACGGGAGCATCGTGAACAAGTCCTCGCAGAATGCCATGAAGAGCCGACGGCGGGACACCTCGGCCGTTACAAGACTCATCAAAGGGCGATTCTGCGTTATTACTGGCCAAACATTTATAAAGACGTGGCTCATTTCGTACGCAACTGTCACGTATGCCAACAGGTGGCTCCGGCGGGACTTATGGGAATAGTCTGCGGAGACACTATAGGTCCGTTCCCGAAATCGCCACAAGGCCACGAGCACCTGCTGATTTTCATGAATATGTTCACTCGGTGGATTGAGTGCATATCCATACGAAAGGAGAATGGCAAGACCATCAAGAGAGAGCTAAATCAACGAATTTTCTTGCGATTCGGCGTCCCCAAGAAATTTTTGTCTTATAATGGCATGCCCTTCAAGAACAAACTCATGGATGACTTCCTAGACTCCCACGGCGTTTACCGTGCGACGTGCGTGCCCTACTCACCGAAGTCCAACCCAACGGAGCGCGTAAACCGAACCGTGAAGACGATGATAGCAGCGTTCATCCAAGAAAAACACACTAATTGTTAGACAAAGCGTAAACACCGATAGGTTTTGAAAGTTGCCGCAAATCAATAATATTGTACCTGTTGGCCCGGGGAAAACTAACACCGGTAACTTTCAAAACAAAAGAAACTCAAATTAATAATTTTATTTGATATCGTGTTGTCTCAACGTAAATGTGTTTTTTTTTAAATATTGTTAGACACAGTCATCGGTGATTACACATATAGACGCTCGTTATAATATGTTAGATACTACCCAACACAGCCGCGCTAACAAACAGTTAGTGCGCCTGATAGGCAGGATCATTGTATGACGTAATAACGAACAAAGAGTCTTTCGGTAATTACAACATTAAATGACCTTTGTTAAGCCTACCGTCGACTAGTAAAGTCAAAATTTTGCCTGTTTACTGATTTTAATAAGCACTCGCACTCGCATCACCCGCGGAACAAGCGTGTAAATTTAAGCGAAAATTTGCCACAACGCAACGAACAGATAACGATGGACGGCACTCAAAAAGAAGTAGAAGACTGGGTTTTGACGCTCCAAGACGAGGAAATCAACGAATCCCTCCTGCTCTCCGATTTTCGTGTTTGACGTAGGTAATTACACGCGCCCTTCAGTACGATCGCACGAATAAATTAATTAAACGGTATCCACCCCGTTACAAATGCTATTAAAAACGCGACTCCAATATACCCTATAAATAAAAAAATTAATTTAGCCAACTCTAAAGCTGTATCTGACAAAATTAAAGAAAAAAGAAGATTAAGAAAAATTTGTCAGCAAACTAGATTACAAATAGATAAATCCAAATATAATCAATCAATCAAAGAACTTAAACAAATTCTCTACGACGAAAAAAATGAGAATATAAATAACTACTTAACGAACCTAACTGCAACCGAGGCAACTGATTATTCACTTTGGAAAGCAACAAAACAATGAACCAACCGCAAAGCTTCTCTCCTTCTATTTTAAAAAATGACATGACATGGGCTAGAACAGATATTGATAAAGCTAATACTTTTGCTAAACATTTACAAAACATATTCAACCCACCGAAACGTAAAATAATAAAAGATGAAGATCAAAATTTATTAAATAACATTCAAAATAATAATGTAAATAATTACACATATAAGAGCATTAAAACTAAAGAAATAAATCATATAATTCGCCATTTTTAAAATAAAAACAGCCCGGGACACGACAATATAAATGCAAGGTTATTAAAAGAACATCCAATAAAAGCGGTAAGATTTACGAGGTCTGTCATTTATATTTTCATGCTAGCATTATGCTTTACCATCAGGTGGGTGGTATCCTTCAAAGTAATACCCACTTGATTGAATAACACGGTTCCATCGATGTTTCCACTTTACTAAACAGTCCTGGAACTCACTTTTAGGGATAGTCTTAAGTACACTTGTCGCATTGCCGCACAAGATTAGATGAATGCGCTGGCGCATTATCGTGATGGAGAAGCCAGTCACCACTTTCCCAAAAGTGCGGCCGTTTTCTTCTTACTGCATCACGCAAACGTTTCAAAATTTGAACGTAGTATTCTTTATTGATTGTCTGACCTGTTGGTGCATATTCGTGATGTACAACACCTTCACAATCGAAAAAAACAATCAACATTGACTTAACATTGCTCCGACTTTGGCGTGCTTTTTTTGGTCTTGGCGATTCAGAATGCTTCCACTGTGAAGATTGTTGTTTTGTTTCAGGATCATAACCATAAACCCATGATTCATCACCCGTAATAACTTTTCTAAGCACATTATCATCATTATTGACCATTTCCAGATTGTCCAGAGCGATTTCTAAGCGAATGTTCTTCTGCTCTGCTGTGAGCAATTTTGGGATGAATTTCGCACACACGCGTTTCATTCCTAAATTTTCGGTTAAAATTTCTGAAATGATAGTTTTTGGTATCCCAAGGTCTTCTTCTAGTTCTCGCACAGTTATACGACGATCTTGTTCGATTGCAAGTCGCACCCGCTCAATATTATCTGCGGTTTTTGTTCGTCGAAGGTCGGCCGGAACGAGAATCACTATCGACAGAAGTGCGACCATCCTTGAATTGTTTATACCACTCTTTTATTCGTGTTTTGCTCATACACTCGCTTCCGAAGGCCTTTTGCATCATTTCAATAGTTTCCGAACTCGTTTTTCCGGGTTGAAAGCAAAATTTGATGTAAATTCGTTGACCTTGTTTTTCAGTCATTTTTGACAATATCAAAATCCGACGAACGCGAGAAAGCCTCTGTAAACAAAGACA